AAGTGCACGACCAGCAGGCACTGGACCTGGGCAGCTGTGGCCACAGGACCCAAGGTGCGCTCCAGCAATGCCCACCCCTTCCCAGGTGGCTGCCGGGGTCGGCCGGGTCCTGGTGGTTTTCCTGGGGATCACCCAGCAAGGGCGCAGTGGGCGATGAGATTGCTCCGCCAGGGGCCATTTCCTGCCCCGAGGGGCCCCTAGGTCCGTGCCTCGCGCGCCCCTGCGAGGGGCGCCAGGTCCCGGGCAGGGCTTTGCGCCGGCACAGGTTCCTGAGCCGGCCTGGCCAGGGGCCTGAGCACTCGGGCTTCCTCCAGGGAGCCCGGAGCGGGCAGAAGAAGAGAGGTTTCCTGGCCTGGGACTGGGTGTGCCAGGCATGAGAGCCGCGCGCCCCAGCTCCATCCACTGTGGCCAGCGTTTGGGGAAACAGTGGGGATCCCTGAGGTTGTGCGTCTTGGGGAGGAGAGAGCAGCGCCTGGTCCCACTCCGCCCAGCCCCGGGGGCAGGACAGCAGCCGCAGGAAGGGCACGCCCTGCTGCTGGGCAAGGAAAACTGGGGTTGACCATCCCGGCCTTCCCGCTGAGCCCTGGAATTAAACAGGGTGGGGAGGCCCACGGGGGGCCACGGTCCTGCTCGCTGCCACAGCTCAGCGTGGGTCCCCGGGAGCCCAGCTAACGGGAGCCCCAGCCCCCGCGCCCCTGGCCTGCTGTGCGCTGGGCTCCTGGAGCCTGCCGGCTGCCCTGCCCTCCCGCCAGCCTCACCCAAGCCACGGCCCCAAATTTCATGCCATCCTGGCGCAGGAAGCCCGGGCTTGCCTATTTCGCCATTTCTAAGACGGGGGGGACAAACGAATTAGAAAATTCTTGCTTTGGAAAAATATCTGTTCAATGCAGTTTGGTGCTTACATTATCCTTGGAGTATTTTTTCCCCCCCGGCTTCATTTGAAAAAGAGAAAAAAGAAAGTTGACGCACGCCCCACACCTTGTTTCTCTTTAAACCGGCCCCTCGTACGTGCCTTTGGTTACGGCAGCTGTTTTCTGGGTCAGAGAGAGCAGAATGGAGAGGGAGGGAGGCCGGGGACCAGGGATCTCTCATTTTAAATCCCATTACCGGCTTTGAGGAGCAGCACAAAAAATCAGGAAAAGATAGTCCGTCCCCCACTGATTTCCATCACTTCAAAGATTTCCCTCGTCCCATAAATCAGAAATATTATGGCGCTAGGTATTTCTCAAGGAAAAAAAATGCACACGTTTCTTCAGACTATAGACACGGTCTAGGTCCCTTTTTCCATTTCTCAGCAAAAAAAAAAAGGGGGGGAGGGATAGGAATAAGGCACTCAATTCTCCAGCTATTAAACAAGTCATGCCTGCAAGAAATGCAGGCACCGGGGACTGCTCAGCCCGCATCCCTCCATTAGTGCACGCCCGCGTGGCTGCGTGTCAACAACGCACGTGCTACCGTGGGCACCCACTACCCCCGGCCGGCTCTGTGCACAGGGGCACCGGGCTCAGGTGCCAACTGGCAGCCCTGCTCCCAAGCCCACTGCCCTGCCTCTCAGGGACCCCTTTTGCTGCCTCTGGCTGGCAAGTTGGAAGTCCGTCGTCGTTTTCCCCCTGAAAATCCCTAGAACTAGCGGGAACCATGGTCTCCTGCCCTCGAATGGTTCACCCCATTGCCTTGAGTTGAGGCTAGTTCCCTCTCTTCTTCGCCTGCCCCAGGCCGGGCATTAGATGCCATGCAAACTCCTGGCACCAGTCACCAAAGGGAAGCCGGCGCCTGCCCATAGAGGGGGCGGTGCGGACCAGAGGAGACACCGGTGCCAAGGTTGGATGTGAGATCTCCATCCGCGCAGGGGATGGGAGCTGACGCACACCCTGCCCCTGACGGATGGCCCCGCACGTCCGCAGTGCGCGCCAGGTCTTGGAAACGAAGGGCAGGCTCTATCGTTTGGATCTCTTTCAAGGACCCAGGCGCTCCGAGTCTGGGGCTCGTTCTTTAAAGGTTTTACTCTGAGAAAAGGGGATGGGGGCGGGGGCGGGGGGAGGGTGTGAAAGGATGAGACATTCCCACAATCCCTGCACTGGGATGGCACTCGAGAGCAGGTTGTGGTCTCTCTTGAATGGAGAGTTCAAAAGGAGAAAAAGAAAAAAGGCTCGTTCCCTCCCCTTTGCCCCAGGGATGAAACCTCTCCAGATTCAAGCGGCCAATTTGGTTTGATTTCCGTGGTTCGGAGGCTCTGCTGGGGTTAGGGGGCAAGACAGACCTCAGCTGCCTCCTGGAGCAGCTGGTCCGCGTTGGCCCTGACGGCAGAGGCTGAAGTCAGGGCGATCCCCCTGGTCTGGCACCTGGAAGGGGCTTCTGGGGAATGCATCCTGGAGCCTCCCCGGCCGAGTCCCCAACGCCCTGTATGGGGGCCGGCTCCCTCCCCTGCTTCCACGCCTGCTCTCAGCACCCCCACCTGTCCGTGTCCCCCAGGCTCTAGTTCCCCTTCCTCTGTCATGTCCAGCCAGCTCTATGCCCACCCAAGCCTCCTTTGCCGTGGAGTGACTTTCCCAAAGAGCTGTCAGCACAGCCCTAAGAGGCTGAACGTGGGGGGCTCTTTCCCAAGGAGAGGCCCTCTGTGGACCTGCCTGGGGGAGGGGGGGCGGTCCCCTGCAGACCGTCACCCGGGCGCTGAGCCCCAGACCCTGGCCACCCCGCCCGGGGGCCACAACAAAAGGGACTTGGGGTGCTCTGCCCTTTCCCGGAGCCGCCCCGGAGACCAGCCTGGGTTTGGCTGTTGGTCATCGTTCAGGTGTGAACAACACAGCATCCTCCCTGCGGCCTGAGCCGGGGGTGTTGGGGGGAAGGAGGCTTTTGGCCAAAAAACGTGGGCACAAAGCAAGAAGCTGCATGCCATGGACACCACTGTGTACGTCCGCGCACGCCTGCGAGGGGCATGGCCGCCGTCCGAGGGGCTGGCAGCAACCCCTACATCCCTCCATCCTGCCCAGGGCACCCCTATTTTCCGCCGGTTTCCACCCAGCCCCAGCCGCTCACCCTCTGGCGCATTAGAGGGCAAACTTTGGGATTTCGTGGCTGAGGTTCAGGGCACAGCGGGGGCAGCCATCCTGGATGTTCAGAGCAGCCTCACCCGCACCCCAGGGAGAAAGGGGAACTGTTGGATTTGTGTGGGGGTCAGGAGGCGGACTGGGGGGGGGGGGGCTGGGGGTAGGGAACCGAGGGGCTGAGCGCCCCGTGCCGCGCCTGGCTGCCTCTCTCCCCTGGTTCTCCCTCCACACCTCATCTCCTGCCATTTCCAGAGGCAGCGGAAAGGTGATCTAGGACTTGACCCTAAATCACAGCTGCTGGTGACTGCACCTCACTCCAGGGCGAGCGCAGCCGCTTCCCGGCTCTCAGGGCGGCTTAACCCTTCCCTCCCCGCGCATGCGCTCCGAGGCCGGCGGCGCCTCTGACCCCGGCCCCGGGAGCAGCTGGCCTCCTCTCCTCCGGGCGGCACCTCGGGTCCCACGGGGGGACCACAAAGGGGCGAGACTGCGGGGCGCTGCGAGCCCGGGGCGCGGGCCGGACAGCCGGGAGCGCTGCCGGGGAGCCCGAGGAAGAGCCGGAGTTAGCGGAACGGAGAGGGATGTTTGGCTCGTGTTAACTAGCCAGACAGATGCATGTCTGCATTTATGGAATCCATACGTCGGCTTGGCAAATGAAAGGGCAGTGACACGTACATGCAATAGCCTGAGAAGAGCAATCCACATTTCAAAGGGGATCCGCACCTTCTTCACCGTGCAGCCCTCCGCCGGGCTCCGGCTTTAGACTTGATCCGAGAGGCGTCCTTCCAACCACCTCTGTCTCCACCTAGGACTTCCTTTTTTCTTCCTCACCGCCCCCCCCCCTTTTTTTTTTGTTTTTGTGTCTCCCACCCCCCAGACCCCAGCAGAAGGAAACCCAGGGCCCAGGGGCTTGGCTCTTTGGAAGTAAGATCTCTTAAGATCCTCTTCGCCTCGCCTTCCCCTTAAGGCTGCCCCAGCGCACCTTGGACCAAATAATAGCTGCTAACGTTGCAACCCCAGGTTCTGACAATCGCGGGGGAGCAGGTTCTCACTCAGATTCCCCATCCACATCTTCATCATTAAACCAACACTCCTACGTTATGTTTGTTAAAAAAAAAAAAAGTAACTTCAAACAGATTTGGAAACAAAAACCCCCAGCGAGAGAGCACACAGCTCTGTGCTGCACCTGCATTTAAGTATACCTTGTATATTTGTGTGCACACGCACAGATATTCACACACACAGAGATGCAGAGACATCTAAAGCCATTCAAATGCATATGTACCCATTTGTGATTCTATCTTTGTGTTTATATATGTATATACCCACTCCTTTGAACAAGAGCCGGAGAGATATACACATCAATGCAATATTTAGCCTACATTCCACTTTCTCTCCCAACTGTAAATATCTTCACAACAGCACTGGTCTAAAATGTGCTGTCCTCTTCCCAACTAAATGAAGGATTTAGATGCTGAGTTTCTTGGTTCCTTTTTTCCCCCCTTCATTTGTACATAAAATAATCCATACAGATGCTGGATTATCGCCTAAGCAGAATTCAATCATACAAGCCTGGTACCTCTCCCCCTTATAACAAATTCACTCGGTAAAATTAGCATAAGTATTTACCAGCTTAAACTGACATTTTTCTATATTGCAACATGAAGTACATTTATATCCAGATTTTCCCCCAAATAGCCTACATCAGGGGGGATGCTGGCTGCCTCCGCGCCCTTATATATAAGAAACAAGCTACAAGTTCCCTTCCAGTGCATTGACATTTTATAAAGAAATTAAATACATACACAGCATTGAAGTGAGTTTTCAAGATCCACAAGGAGAAATTTAATTCTACATCTTAAAAAAAAAAAAAGAAACTAACAGATTTATGCAGATTTGTGAAGACAGATAAATACGAAGCAAGTGCACTCCTGGGATCTAAACAATTTTCCTTACCTGATGTGTTTGGGAAAATTTCAGAATTTACCAGTCTTCCTTCAGTCAGCTACATTTTACACTGACCTGCACTTTGGACTGAAAGGGAAGAGAGAGAGAGAGAGAAAAAAAAGATTAACTGTTGCCAATGAAAATTTTAAAATAATAATCAGAAACCGGACAAACTGAAGGTAAAAATATACAATGGCTACCATCAAGATAAATATTTATTGAATCAAAGTCGAAGTTGTGTTTGGACCTTAGGAATGTTTCATCCTTCCCTTAAAAAAAAAAAAAAAAATCAAGAAAGAAAAAAGCCAGAGTGTCTGCAGGCTCCTGGAGCGGTCCCATTGTTCGGGGCTATCTAGAGCCCAGAATGGCATTAACCTTACAAAAGGCACATTGTGCAGGGGACAAAAAAAAAGCCCCTTCTCCTACAATAACTTTTAGCTTTTTTATTTTTAGAAAATGACAAAGGTTTTACAAGCACTGACTGGTGAAACCTGTAGCAAGCCAGGCTGGACTTGGCTTTATTGATCACTGTCCCGCATGGAAAAGCAGCCAGCAAAAGTTTGAATGGCGCTCCAGATTTGGCTTAGAGAGAGGAAACCCCCGATTTTTTTCTAAATGTATTTTCTCCCCCCCCCCAATAAAACAGCATTATTCCCAGAGTGAATTCAGAAGGATTAGATGAGGCAGCCCTGCAAAATCCTAAAGCGATCTTGTCCCCCTAGTCTTGACTGAGAGGCTGCATGCTGGAATCTCTCAAAATGAAGGATTCCTTTTCCGATCAAACAGATTTCACAATGAATCCCCAAATTTCCTCTAAAATAAGTAACCCATAAGCTGGGGCAATATTTTTTCCCCCCTAAGAAAAATAAGTTTCAGTGCACACGCTCTCTCTACCTGATGTTACCGGGTGCACTGATGCCTTCAAACACGTAAATGCTGTTTTCACATGTGTTTGCAGATCACTTCAAGTGCAGAGTGCATTTTATTTTATTCTAGATATTGTGACTTCAGTGGTACTAGTTGCTATTTAGAACTTACATAAATACACACTCTTATTTTTAAAAAATCTATGGCAGTAGCAGTGAAGCTAAAGCTAGGATTTGAAGGGGGAGGGGGAGGAGAGAGAGAGAGAGAGAGAGAGAGAGAGAGAGAGAGAGAGAGAGAAGGAGAGAGAGAAAACTCTGTTCTTCCTGCATTTGTTTGCTTGCTTTTTGGAGGTACCCTGCACCCGCCTAAGTGATGGCTTTGATGTAGTGGGAATCAGTACAGTAGCTGGGTCCCTGGCTGCTGTCTTTGATTCCAGGGATCTCCTTTGGGCTCTGGAGGGATGTACCGCTCCTAGTCTTTATCTGAAATCCATCTTCTCATTCCAAGCCCTTTGGCTTCCAGACTGCTCCAAAGTCTTACTGCTCTTGGAGGTAGCTGTAAGACTTTTTTTTTTTTTTTTTTTTTTTTTTTGCCATTAGAGAAGGGGTATGTAATTTTCCCCTTTTCTCCACTCGAGACCTTTCCTCGCTCTTTAAATATATTGGCTTTCTCTCTCACGAATTTCGTCTGAAATTATTTTTCACTGCCTTTATTACATCCCTGCGTTTGATGGCAAAATAGCTTCCTGTATTTTTGAAAACATCTGCTTTCCAGGTTTTACACGAGAAAATTGATTTTACTTTTCTCCCAAGTCCAGGAAGGTAGAAAGTTGGACTTGTTTCCAAGTGCAACTTTCCCTTCTCTTGTCTTCCCTTAAGTTACCCCCCCTCCCCTTTCCATTCTGGTTCACTTTCCCCCTTTTATTTCTCCTAATAGTCACTCTCCTCTTCCCCTTGCCTTCTAAAGAACCAGAGGAGACTGATTTCGTCTTATCTCAGAACACAACATTAACATATATATAATTTTGTCTTGTCTATGGTACGTGTTAAAGTTTCCTCCCCATTTTATTTGTTCTCTGACTCGAGGGAGGTAATTTTCCTCCTTAAAAAACAAACAAACTCAGATTTGCAATTTAAAGTGGCCTGCATTCTAAGTCTTTGCTGCTTCTCTTTCACTTAAATCTTTAAGCTGTCCCACTCCATTATCGCCCCCCTTACTCCTCTCTTCTTTGAAGATGCTCTCTTCCTCCTTAATTTAAACATTGTTGCATTTGCCCCCCCCCCAAGAAAGAAAAAGAAAGGGGAAAAGAGAAACAAGAAAAGAGAAAGAAAAAAAGAAAAAAAATCTTAAAAAAAAATCTTAACCAGGTTTCTATTGTTGCTTCTCTGCATTTCACTTCTCGGTGTGTGTGTGTGTGTGTGTGTGTGTGTGTGTGTGTGTGTGGTGTGTGTGTGTGTGTGTGTGTGTGGTGTGTATGTTTTTAATACATGCATAAACTTTTGGTGCCTCTCTCCCTCTTCCTGGGTTCTTCTCCCATCCTCTCTTCCTGCTCTCCTCGCCGTGCTCATCACTTTCCCCTGTTTTTTTTTTTTTTTCCTCCCTTCCTCCCCTCTGCCTCCCTCCACCTCCCCCTTTTCTTTTTTGCTGAATCTTATTGATCCAGAAGGTGGCTAATTAGCCCTTCCCGTCGTGCCTGGGTAATGAAGCACATGCGCACTGAATTAATCACAGCCATTTTTTGCAGGAAACTAATTAGCAGAATAAAGATCCAAAGACTTTTTTTTCTTTTCACTCATCAGCTCCCACTTCCAGCGCGTCCCCTCCGACCGCTGCAGCCGCTGCCGCCGCCGCCGCCGCCGCCTCCTCCTCCTCCTCCTCCCGGCCGCAGCCGCCGCCGCCGCCGCCGCCTGCTTTGCATCCCAATTACAGCCTAGAGCCGCTGCCGCCGCCGCCGCCGCTTCTCCTCCGTGGCCCCTGCCCGCTCCGGGGGCTGTAAACTCCCCGCCAACCATGCTGCTCGGCGGCAGCGGCGGCGGCGGCTCCGGCTCCCCGGCTGCGGCCGCCTCCCGCCCCGGGCTCCGCCGAGCGCGCTCCAGCTCCGCCGCCGCCGCCGCCGCCGCCAGCAGCGCGTCCTCCGCCGCCGCCGACCCCCGCCAGCCGCCGCTGCTGCCTTGATGGGCTCCGCGGCCCGAGCGCCTGTTTTCGGGATTAAAAGCGCCGCCAGCTCCCGCCGCCGTCGCCGCCGCCAGCAGCGCCGCTGCAGCCGCCGCCGCCGGAGAAGCAACCGCGTAAGTGGCAACTTTTCCCTCTTTTTTTTTTTTTTTTTTTTTTTCCCGCCGCCGCCGCCGCCGCCGCCGCCGCCGCCTGCTCCTCCTCCTCCCGCCGCCGCCGCCGCCGCCCGGACGCGGGGCTCCTCGGGGCGCCCGGGCTGCTTTGCATGGGGCTCGTCCTGCCCCCTCCCGGCTCCCGCGCCCGGCCGCCGCCGCCGCCGCCGCCCGCGCTCCCCGTGCTCGCCCGCCGCGTCCCGCTCTCCTTCCCCCCGCGCCAAACTTTCTCTTTCTCTTCCTCCTCCTCCTCCTCCCGCCGCCGCCGCCGCCGCGCCCCGGCCGCCCCCTCCTCCCCGGCCGCCCGCCCGCGACCCCCGGGAGGGTGGAGGCGCCCGGGGCGAGGCCCGCGCCGCGACTTTGGAGGCGCCGCCGGGCACGGCCGGCCGGCGCGCGGGGCCGAGGGCGAGAGGGCGGCCGGGGTCCGGGCGCCGAGACAAAGGCGGCGGCCGCCGGGGGGGTCCGCGGGGCCGAGAGCCCCCGCCCCCGGCCCCCAACTCTGCCCCACCCCGAGCGGCGCCGGGCCCGGCGGAGCCGCCGCGCGGGGCGCGCACCCGGCCCGGAGCAGCGGCCGCGGCCGCGGCTTGTTGCTGCCGCCGCCGCCGCCGCCGCCGCCACCGCCGGCCGGGCGCCTTCCAGCTCGGGCCGGAGTGGCCGGGGCCGCGGGCGCCGGGCCGGAGCCTCGGGTCCGAGAGGGGGCGAGGGGGGCGGCGGCCGCCCGACCCTCTACCTGCGCGCCGGCCTCCCCGCCCCGCCGCCCCGCCGCGGGCGCCCGGAGGGGCTCTGCCCGGACACTAGGGGCTCCCGGGGGCTCGGGCCGCGCCGCCCGCCCGGGCTGCACCGCGCCGGGCCGGCCTCTCTCCGGCCGGCCAGCTGAGTTGAGAAGACGTAGGAGGATTCCTTTTCTTTTCTTTTTCTTTCTTTCTTTCTTTTTTTCTTCTTTTTTGTTTATTTTTTTTTCTTACGAGAGTCTGCGATTGTTTACGTTCTGTTGCCCACTCTCACCCCTCGTCCTGCCCCATCTCCTCTTTTTCCGTGTATTTTTTTTCCATGAGATGCAAAAACTGTGTTCCTGAATTTCCCATTATTCATTGTCACGTCCATCCCTGTACATCTTTTTGCATGTCTTTGGGGGGACTAGATCCGAGTGTGTTTTATGCAGGGCACTTACATTGTGTGTGGATTCAGGACTAGGAAGCTTTTTTTTTTTTTTTTTTTTGTGGAGCTATGGAAATTTTAAAATACATTTCACTTTGCAAATTAATCTGTTGCTTGGTTGGAACCTGACTTTCGAAAGCGTACCGTTCCCTGGACTGTGGCAAATTTCTTTGATTACAAGTGCTTTCAAAAAATCACCCCCTCTTTTACTCCTCGTTGCTTTGAAGCAGGGTAAATATGACAATTTTTATTGGTCTCAATTATTGAAACTTGATCTAAGGAACTATATGGAAGAAGGAGGCCGACTGCCCTTTTCTGGCCTCCAGTCCTCCTGACTTTTAAAAAGGGGGTTTGTTAAGTACCTTTAAAGAATATGACTTACGGTGATCGCTTTGGCTGTAATGCAAATTACAGAACATAAATTCACTCTGGAATTAAAAAAAAAAAAAAAGACTCGAGTCCCTTCAGTGGGGACACTTGACGATTTATTAGGTTTTTTAAAAAATTACTTTTTTTTTCAACTCCCTACTTTGGGAGAATGGCCGGTTTTCAGACCAACTTATTCGGAGGTCTTCTGAGGGAGGCTTTGGAAACTGGGCGAGGGGAGAAGATTGATCACAATCTGCATAATCAATAGGGCGGCGTGCTGCAATCGTGTACCTACATTTACTGTAAATTTCTGCAATATCCGCAGCGTGGGTGCTCCCGTGGCTCGCTCGGCTTCTCGGAGAAGCTGTGGAGGCAGTGTGACTGCCCACCCCTCCAGAACAATATACGGGAAGTCCGCTCCAAAAGGGGCCTGTGTGAAAACTCCATCTTGCTGTCCAGTTTTTTTGTGTTTTATTTTTTATTGTTTGCAAATCTGTTTACATGGGGGGGGGCGGTTCAGGTATTGAACCCCCAACGTGCAGGTACCCTATAGACAGAAGGGGAAAGTCTTGGAGGATTTCGGGATGGGAATTCGCTTATTGGATTACCACTTCCAGGACTCTTCACATCTTCTAATGTTTGGTATCTTCAACTGATGCAAATAATTTATAGATAGGAATATGAGAGAGTAACACACCAGATTGAAGCAATGTCAAAAGTAAGGATTGGTGTGTGTGTGTGCGTGTGTGTGTGTGTGTGTGTGTGTGTGTGAGAGAGAGAGAGAGAGAGAGAGAGAGAGAGAGAGAGAGAGAGAGAGAACAGAATACAGACACTTATAGTCAGGCTTGAAAGCTTGGTGGTAGGTGAATCCATATTTGGAGATGATTTTGAAATAGTCTAGCAAATGGTGCACGAACAGGATTTTGCAAAAAGTGTACACGAAGCCAGTCTTGAAAGGATTGTGGTCTGGGGAGATGAGGTGTGGGCAGGAAAACCCACTCTCAGGCCAGCAGCCTTCCTCTGTCTGCCCGTCTCCTCCCTTCCCCCTCCCTGAGTTTTAGTTTTTAATTACTTAATGCTGAAACGCACAGGGCTTATATAAATATTTGCAAATGCTCTTTCCTATTGATTTCTCTGAATAAACTGGCCTGCTTAGGTCCAGAGAGGAGGCAGTGCAGATCTGTGGAGTTTTTTAAAGTCTCTGGAGGAGTGTTTGTCTGTGCATGCATGTGTTTATGGGTAGACTTGTAGACATGAAGGTTTGGGGGACCCCCTGCGATGAAGGGTTCAGGCTCCGGGTAGTGTGTGCTGAGAAAGCTGGGCTGGAGTTGGCCCCATGGCCTGGCAGTCCTGTCGTGTGTGTGTGTGTGTGTGTGTGTGTGTGTGTATACATACGTGCTGTGTGGGTGTCTACACTGGGGGAAGTCTGAATGCATATGCACTTACACTCCCTCCAAACCACCCCCCCCCACCATTAAATACAGAGTTTTCCAGGGCCTTCTCTTGAGGGTCACATTGAGTTCGAAGCTGACCCAAGGTGCAGGATGTGATAGGGAAATAAAAGAATATACAGAATTGGGGTCAGGTCAGCTGCTCAGAGGCCAAAACCCCTACAGCTGCTTTGATTTTTATTTTGTGTGTGTGTGTGTGTGTGTATGTATTTTAGGCTCCTCCTGCCACGTTACAAATGATGCCTCCCCCTCTCAGGTGTTTGTTCTATAGTTTAAAGGCACCAGAGCCTCTGTCTGGGTAGCTGTCTGCTCCCAGCAAAACAGAAACCCCACAATACCGAGTCCAAAACAAAACGAGGGAGGAGAGGGAGGAAAAACCCCTATTGAGTTCAGGCAAATAAGGCTGGGTGTCCAGATCCGATTACAAAGCAGCTTTGAATATGCAAGACAGCACACAAGACCAGTTAGTCCAGTTACAACAAACTATTAAAAAGAGAGAGAGAGAGGGAGGGAGGGAGGGAAGGAGAGAGAGAGAGAGAGAGAGCGGGAGAGAAAAGAAAAGGCATGTTTAGGTCGTAATTTGTTAGTACAAGGAAAAGAATCCCACATAAAGCTGCCTCTTCCACCCCCCCTCCCTCTGCTGGCTCCACGTATGATTCACTCAACCCTTTTCTGATCCGCTGAACTGTATAGATTCTTTTATTAAAATCTTTTGGGTTTAGGAAGATCGCTGCGAGCAACACATTTTCAGTGTTTTCCCCCCTTTATCTTAGAGGAGAGTTGGCAAGGGTTCTGTGGTTTGCAGTTACACAACATGTTATCATGTTTTTAATCACTAAATCATTGCAGTGGTTATAGATTTACAGTCTTGGGGTATTACAGAGAGGAGCAACGGCAGATATATATATATATATATATATATATTTATATGTAATTCAAAGGCATATATATATATATATATATATATATATATATATGCCTTTAAATTACACCGATGTAAACTGAGTGCAGCAGCTGTGAATATGGCCGGCAGACTTCAGTCCCTCCCCCCATTCCTCCTCCCTCAGCATCTTAGTTCTTCCCCCCCCCATCTGTGATTTCTTTCCCCCCCCCCAAATTGTTGCTTAAAATCAGCTATTCTCCCTTCTCCTGTCTTCCTTGTCTCTTTAGCCCCCTCACCCAAGAAAAATGCTCATTTCAGACCTCTCACCCCAGGGAAGCTGGAATCCCAACTCTGGTTTGGAATATAACTTTGGGTCAGAGAGTGGACCAGCGAAGTGGCTTTCCTAAGACATTCTCATGGTTTCCATGCCAATCCCCTGCACAGGGCCGGCAGGCTGGCTGGCTGCAATGCCCGAGGAGGAGGGGAAGGCGGGGAAGGCAGGCTCCTGGCACTTGCCTGCCTGGAACCTCCAGTGTCCTGTCACCGCGAGCCCACTTCCAGCTTCTGTTTTTCGTATTATTATGTAACAGAATCCTTGGCAGCATTAAAAATTCAGTATTACAAGCTGATTGTAATGCTGCCTCATTAGACAGCACTGTCTGGCCTTGTATTAAGTGAAACACAGAGCATGGCTTTTAGATTATAAACACCAATAAATATTAAGGATCAGCGGGGGGGGGGGAGTGGGGGGATAGTCAGCTGGGTTTTTGGCCCCTTCTGGTTTCATATCCCCACCCCACCCCCATCTTCTTCCCTTCCTGTCCCCCTTCCTCCCCCCTTCCCCCCTCCATGGTAACTGTTATCTGTTTTTCTTGGGATGCTGATGTGTTGACCCTGGTGACATTTCAGGAGGGCTTTTTATAGAGTCACCGTGTGTACACAAAAGGTTTGGAAGTTTGTTTTGTTTTGATCCGCAATAAACAGGTCCTTCACTTTGCTGATGTCATTTCCGTTCATATTTGAGCTGTTTATTGTGCTTCTTCGCAGGGCCCTCTTCCCCCACCTCGCTCTCCAGCCAGAGCCCGGGGGAGGGGGCATGCTCCTCCAAGCCGCCTGGTCTGGGTTCAGAGGCTGGGAGTTGCATGTCACAGCCGTGTCATCGCAGGGTTTGGCCGCTGGGGAGGATGTTCCCAGCTTCCAGTCTGGTTAAACACTCCCACATCCCCTGGCCCTGGTATTTTCATGGCATGCAGGGATTCCTCTTGGCTTCCTTTCTCTGAAGCACCCCCCCCCCAACACACACACACACACACACACACACACTCACACCCCTTGTCTAAGTTGTTACTACATCATTGTCTCATTCACTTCTCTCCCCCCCCCCAAAAAAAACCTCCAAAAACAAAAAAACACAACACACCCCAACCTTGTAAGGATGACTTTGATTCAGTTGCTTATCCGACGCTGGCATCAGCCACTTGGTGCTGTGGGAAAAAAAAAGAAAAAAAAAGGAAATGTTTCCAGGCTCTGCCCACAGCCGCCCCACCGTCACCCCCCCACTCCTGTCCCCCCTTTTTTTTCTTCCTGCTCTCTGCCTTTTTGTGGACATAAAGGCCGCTCTGGTGTTACCAAAAATGACCTCAGTGTCCAGCGTTCCTTATTGCCATGTGATCTACAATGGGAATCCCCCCTCCTCCAAAAATAAAAAAGGAGGGCGGGGAGAGGAAGGAGGAAAAAGCTGACCGGCCCTAGGCCCTCCGGGCTTCCCTCTAATAGGATGATGGGTTTTGGGTTTAAAAAAGAAATATTATTGTTTTGTTCTTTCAGGTTTAGAAATAATAGGGAGAGAGGGGAAAGCAGTCATTAGGAAGTTCACTGAGCTGCTTTCCAACTCAGACGGGTGAAAAATGAACCTGCATTGACACTTGGCTCCGTGTGAAAGGCCCGGTCACCTCTCCCCCCTTCGGTGGCCCTGGCCCTTTGTTCCCTGAGAATGGAGCTAAGGTGCTTTCTCTCCCGGACCAAAGGCGGCGGGCGAGGAGTCCCCTTGTGCGCGCATCGCCTTTGGATGGCCTTCTCATGGTTATTGTCAGCGCAGACTCCCCCTCACAATCGCTCCGGGCAGGCACAAAAGCAAAAACATTTGTCCTATTTTTTTAACCTCTTTGTTTTAGGGTCCCCCCCCCCCATCCATTCTTTAAATTTCACAGTTTCTATTTGTCCGAAGAGAGACAAACGGAACAGCATGATGCACATTTTTATCGTAGGCCTCGCTGGCGATTGGAACAGCCTCAATAGAAATCCAAATTCTAAAACACTGGCTTGGCGGACTTGGGGAGGATATGTGACATTTCAGCTCGGAGCTCTGAAATCAGATTAGCGCAGATTTCAGACAAAAAAATGCAGCTAAAATGAAAAGATAACAAAATGGGATTCCAGAATCATTTGGGGGGTGTGTGGGGGGGGGGGGAAAGAGTGTGAAAAGGGTCATCTTTTGTTTATCTCTTAGAACCCTGTCCAAAAAAAAGTGGTCACTTGATGGGAAAGAATGGCAAACCCAAATGAAATTCTTCATTAAAAAAAAAAATTCTGATCTTGGTTATGGTGCTCCTGGTAGATCGTTTAATTGATTGTTTTAATGCATGTGTAAGGGAATTGTTGGCACATACTGTGGGATTGATGCTGTGTTGAGAATTTAAAACACACACACACACACACACACACACACACACACACACAGGATTTATATAAAGAAGCCATGTCCCCTCCCCCTTTCTTTCCTCTCTCCTTTCCTCTTTCCTTTCTTCTGCCTCCAACCTGCTTCCCCTCCAAGAATTCAGGGTGTCAGGGGGCGTGCACACACACACACCGGCTGTGTCAGATCCACCTTTTCTTCCTGGCCCCAAACAAAGCGTCCCTCTCCCGCCCTGTATGGACCTTGATTGCGATGCTGTGTCCTTAAGCATCTGTCTGCCTTTTCATTAAAATTCTCAATTTCAAGGTTTAGAAACACAAATGTAAGAATCCCCCTGGGTATAAAAGTCTTGCATGACAAATTCTCTTTGCCCTTTCAGAAATAATATTTTGTTTAAAAAAAAAAAAAAAAAAAAAAGGAAAGAGAGCAAGCTTTTTTAACCCAACGTTTTTAAAGCTAGTTTAAGGAAAGTTATTTATTTCTGCTTTCTTAAACTGGGCTTTGTAACTTCACACAAATTGGGAAAGCTTAAAAAAATGTTTGCTCATTTGTGTCTTATGTGTGTCACTGACAGGTTTAGAGTATGAGCTGGGGAGGGTGGGTAAGCAAGCTAGATAATGTTCCACCTACAATTTGGGGGTAAAATTAATCTGCGGAATTAGCATCCTAGCGATAGATGGGGCCTTGAGGTTTCTGTCAGAGAAATGTGAATCAGAGCATCTGTGTGTTATGGAGGTGAGGGTGGGTTGTTCTCAGGAGAGCCTGCATTCTGTCCCATACCCAGGAGGCCTGACCACCCAGCAGGTACCAGGCCCATAAATATAACTGCCTAGAAAAGATGGGGTGATAGCTGGGCATTCAGCTCCAAATGTTTCCTTGTTTATTTCAGGAATATTCACACATCACCTCCCCCCCCCCCGATTTTTTTCTTTGTTAAAGCCTCAAGGTTATTTAAGCACTAGTTTCAAAATCAATGTGTATGTATAATTTAATAAAAAATAGAAGGATCTGGAAGAATACACAAATCCGCCTAAACCCAGTTGTGCTGTGAAAAGAGAGCCCAGGTTTAGCGAGGAGTCAGAACGCTGACATTCACTGAATCTCAGCTCAGAGATCATATTTACCTTTGCTGAAGTGAAAGGATACAGCATGGAGACCGGGTGTGCATGTGGGGGAAGAGAGCGAGCAAGGGAGAAGCCAGTTGGCTCTGTTCAGATCCTTGTAATTCACCAGCCAGCTAAGCCCTAGGGGGGCTGGCCTCTGGTTTGGAGAGTGAGTAAGGGGAGGAGTAGGGAAGGAGTTAGCATCCCCTGATTTAGTTTTAAATATTTATCCTTTTCGGCTGTTGCCAATTACGCTTTCCAGATGAGAGGAGACTAGCTATGGAGAACTGGAAGCAGGGATTGCCTTTCCTGAGAGTGGGTTTATTTGTCAACAGCGTTCAGGACAGGGTGGCGAGAGTGCAGGGCTTGTCTCCGCTGGGCAGGCCGCTGGCTGATCAGGAGGGCCGGGGCCTTGCAGAGTCACAGGACAGAATTTGCAACAGGCATTTCAGAGAAACTGTGGATTCCATCTGTCAGTGCAAAAGTTGCAAATTTCCCTCTGAAGAGGTATTCTTTTCTTTAATGAAGGGAATAACTTTGGGTAGAGGTAACATGCCACGCTTTGTGCAGTCCTTTATATTCATAATGGTAGAGGCCACTGATCACTTGCCTGTGGCCTACCTGTTCATTTGCTGCCTGTAACAAAGGCAGGCTTGACCAGGCCTCACCGTGTGTAGCTGGTGCCAGATTAAGATCCAGGAAAGGGATCTCGGCTGCTCTGAGTCCTGTTTGTCAGGCCTCTCAGGGGCAGGAGGCAGGTTGCAGGTGGGACACTGGCAGCATCAGGGCAGGTCCCCCTCGGGGCCTTGTTTCCAGCACCTCCTCATCCTTGCAGAGCATTTTATAGCTGGCTCTTTGGGCTCGCTGGCTTTTATTTTATGGAAGATGTTTATGTGTAGGCCCACAGGTTGATGATGTCACCAGATTACAAGGTTGCCCCCTGTTAATAAAAGTTCAAACAAAGCAGCAACATTACATTTCCTGGGAGTATAAACATGTCCTCACTCTCTCTCGGATTTGGCTGAGGGGCCCTGGGCTGCTGCTTCCAGGTAAGAAGTGGGGGCTCGGAGCCTGCCTTCTTCCCGAGAAGATTGCCAGGGGCCTCTCGGTGGGGCCTGTGCCACGGTGCTTGCATTATTGCCAGCATCATCATCTTCATGTATTATTCATAGTCACTTTTTCAATTAAATTATTAATTGGTTTTCGTTAAGGTGTTCTCCGCTCACGTGGCTAATATAAATAATAGCGTGTTTTGAAAACACCACCTGTTCCTGGGCCCCAAGTCAGGAGGTCTGAAAACAGCTCCCCAGTGGTGATCAGGCTCTGCTGTATGAAATCATCCTCTACTTTCCTTCCTCCCCTCTCCACTCCCCGCCTGCCCCCCTCCCCCTTACCCTCTCAAGTGTGACAGAATTTGGCTTGTGCTTTCCTTTGTCCCTAATCGGACATGATTCCCCAGAGGCAGTCTTTTCTCCCAGGGCCCTAAGCTGGAAAAAAAATAAAAATAAAATTAAAATTAAAAAAAATTTTGGCGTCTCTTCCGGACTAAAATGGAAAGAGGGGGTTCGTCTGTCTCTCCCAAGTGAGATATTTACATTCATCGGAGCCCGCGTTGTGTTGTGTAACACGCCTCGGACATGGTGACATGATAGTTTTCATCAGCCAGGCATCCCTGCGCCTCCTGCATCCATGTGTGTGCTTAATGCTAATGCGATTCCATACATGCAGCTCCTCGCCTCGTGAGCTTATTATATTTCTAACACTTGCATGGTTCATTATTGTGCAGTCGGAAAGGGCTCTCTCTCCGGGCTGTGGGGCCAGCCTGGGTGGGTGGCTGGCTTTCAGAAAGGGGAAAAGCAGGTGCCTGTCTCTCTGTGCCCAGAGAATCCAGAGTAAATTCAGACTGAGCTTGGGGTTGGGGGGGAGGAGGGGGGGGGGACAGGGACTTCCGGTGAGAGTCCTGTGGTGTGCTCTTTGCAGAGCAGAATGGGAAAGGCGAAGTGTCCATCAAGGGCTTTGCCCAGCTGGGGTGGCCGCGTGCAATCTGACCCCCCCAGGTAGACTGTCCCCGCGGAGGGCGCGATCTGAACCCATCTGAACCTGTGTGGGTAGCTTTCTCGGGAGAGTCTTGTTCAAGAGACTTAATTGCACATGGAGAGGCCTTTTCCCCACTTTTCTTCCTCTCTCTTTTTTTCTTTCTTTCTTCTGTCTCATTAAAAACTGTCCTTTAACTCTCCATGGGGAGCAGGGGGTGTTTTTGTAAGTTTCTGCAGCCGGGGAACAGGAGTTGCTCTCTCTGTAACAGGATGGGTGTGTGTGTGTGTTTCACATAAATCCCCGTCCATGCTGGCTCATGTCCCCGGGCCACAGCGGCCCGGGACATGGATGGGGCCCAGAGCACCTTTTCTGTGGCCCAGGGCGCGTCCCTGCCCGCTCGCCGGCCTCCAGGCCGCCTGCCGGCTTTGGGGGAGCGGGGTCAGCGCCGGGGGAGGCCACGCTTTGTTCCCACCCGGCGGCGGCGGGTTGCGGGGAGGCTCCCCCGGAGCCGCTCGGGGCGCAGGGCCCGGTCCCCAGGCGCGCAGCCGGGAAGCCGGGGCCCCTGCGCGGCCCAGAGCCCGGCCCGGCCGCCGGCGTGCGCCCCGCTCCCCGCGGGCGCGGCCACTGCGGCCGCCGCTGCACCCGGCCTGCGCCCGGGCGACTGTAGATGTCAGGCTTTGCCCGGGGAGCCGAGCGGCGGCGGCGGGGCTGTGAGTTTCAAATTAACCTTCCGCTTTGTTGCTGTGTAATGTGGATCCCCGAGGCCCCCCGCCCCGCCCGCCCGCCCGCCCGCCCCCCTCCGCGAGCGGAGCTTCATTTACATAAAGCGGCTCCGGGCGGGCGGCGCGCGGTGGGCAGGCCGGCCGGGCACTCCGCGCCGCGCCCCTCCGGGTGCATCTCCGCCGCGCCCGGCACCCTCCCTCCCTCTCTCCCTCCTTCCCTCCCTCCCTCCCTCCCGGGGAGGGGCGACCGCCGGCCCCGCCGCCGCCGCCACCATGAGCCCCCCTCCCCCGCCCGCGGCCCCCCTCCACCTGGGCAGAGCCGCCCCGGGGCCCCGGGGGCAGCGGGAGGTAGCGAGCATGCCGCCCGGGGCGGGTAAGTTTGGGGCTCCGGTGCCGCTGGAATTTGCCGCCGTCGCGCACGCCCCGGCGGCCCCCGGACCTGCGAGCGCCTCCTCCCTCCGGAGGTGCGCGGAGCCTTTGTGTGCCAGGTGAGTGCGGCCCCCGCCCCCGCGGCCGGCCGGCCGGCCCGCCCGCCCGCCGGGCTCCCTCTGCAGCCGGGCGGCCCGGAGCTGCAGGCAGGTGCCGGGAGTCTCTTGGCTGAACTTCCCCTTCTCTCCGGGCCCGTGGGGGAAGGGCCCGGCTGGATGCCCTGGAACTCCGAGGTCCAATGGGAACCTACCTGGGATGAGAGCCTCTCACGTTCTGCTGGGCGCAGAGTGGAAAGCCCTTCCCTCCCTCCGCTCTCTTCCTTCCTTCCTTCTCCCCCCTCCCTCCTTTGCTCACTTGGCTTCTGGATCAGTTCCTGCCCTCCGAGTACTTGCGGTGCTGGTGTCACTTCAAAGCGCGGGTGCCTCGCCTCCTCCGCCCAGACAGGCACCCTTTGCAGCCTCCCCCCCCCCCTCCCAGGAGTCACTGGTCAGCTGAAAACAATGTGGGAAATGCGCTTGTTGTGGAGCCCTCGGAGGGGGAAGCATAGTTTGGGAGCTGGCGGGCAGAGCCACCCGACCACCCTCTAATTTTAGTTTGTTTGCACTCTGGGAAAATCAGAGCGGCATTCATTTCTGAAGGGATGGGGGGTGGGCAAGAGGGAAAGCTGAGATGTTTGTCCTGCTAAAAGGAGCAGGAGGAATGTCCAAGTTAGGTCAGTAGCAGAAATTTAAAAAAAAAAAATCATTGTAGGCCGAGAGGAAAAAGAACTCTCTGCTTTAGACATACCTGAGCTTTACTGATGGAGGGCAAAGGCCGCCACCGCTCAGGCCCGGGGTAGCTGAGCGCATCGCCTGGCGCAAGCACAGTCCACACACTGGCTTAAAGGAAGCCCGGGCACAGGTGAACCCAGCAGGGTCCTTCTTCCCCTCCCTCTGTGTGTGTGTCAAGTCACTGGCCTCAAGACTCTGAAAGCCACTGAGGGGTAACCTGGGCCTGCTGGGCGGGACACATCAAAGCAAAGCTAGGAAAACAGCCTTAGAGGCAGATAGCGAGAACGCTGCGCGTCATCTTATTCCTTCCCATGCTTTGAGATCTTTGGAGACAAGTCACTCAGTACATAGAATAGAATTTAAGGCTCACACCAGCCGGGAGCTCCGCTTCCCTGCCATCAAGCAGCAGGTGTGAGTGTGTGGAGTGGGCCCCCAGAGTCCCCCTCGTTCCTAAATTCAGGAGGTGTCAAACCTTCATGTTCATTTAATGGCTGTGGTTTCTGGATGGTTTTCAAGGGGAAACCCTAAAAAAAATCACGAGTTCCAGGGAGGCTGGGCTGGAGAGGGAAGCCTGAGTTGCCGGGGCCTGAGATGGCCTCTGAGAGGAAAACACACACACACACCTTCTGAGGTAACCCGATCGAGCAGAGGCCCAGGCCAGGAGCCCGGGGCCTGTTCCTTGTTATCAGACCTGCCAGTGGCGGCCTGAGATTCGGAATCCTCCTCCTTTACCCAACCCAAACACGAAAAGCAATTAGGGAGCAGAGGTGGGGTGTGAGGGAAGTCAGGAGACCCGCAGTTGTACATAATTGAAGGGTTTCCAGAATGGGGGTCAGTGGAGGAGAGGTCCGTACGTACATACCTGGGTGTTTGCACACCTGTATTTGTGTGCACTGTACTTGGCAGACACCCCTCAAAGGGCCCCCCTTTCAGAAGGTGACTTTTCCTCCCTCCAGTTCCTTCCATCACAGGACTAAGGAGATTGTCTGCATTTTCGTTTCCAGCGTGTTTTCAGGGAGCGTGTAAGTGCCTCTCAGAATGGGCGAGGGTCACCCTTGGCTCCTTTATTTAATTGCACAAGTGTTATTTAACAACACGGGGCAGATGCAGAAGCAAGCACTTTTCCGATCTGGAAATACTAGTCCTTTCAGAATCGCAGGGCACTAAGTGGCTGGAAGACCCAGCGTGTCTTTATGACATGGGTCACCGTCCCTTTCGCAGCCCCTCTTTTGAAATGGCTGCCCTTTCGGTGGGAAGGAGCTTTGCTGTTCCCCCCAGTTCTCCTGAAAAACACTTTTGATTGACAGGGAAACTATTGAGAAACCCTTTGCTTGTTCTTCCAAAAAGAAAAAAAAGAAAAAGAAAAAGAAAAAAAAGGAAAACCCAGCCACCTGAAGCGTTTCATTTTGGTTTCTTCCCTTCCGCCTTTTATTTGCACAAACGAACACTCAGGCTGGGCGGAAGGGACCCAAGGAAAACAGTGCTCTCGCAGGCCTGTGTTTGGCTCCTCCCACCAGGACAGCGGACTGCGTTTGGCTCCTCCCACCAGGACAGCCGACTGCCCTCCTCCTGGAGGCTTTCAGGACCGGTTTGGCGCGGGTTCCACCGCCTTGTAAACTTGGTGCCAGTTGGACTGCCCGGTGGCAGGGAGCTAAAATAAGCGAGATTTCAGTTTTCGTTATTATTTTAAATGATGATTGCTAGACACTTCCAGGACAGGGGCCTGGCTCACCTTGGATGACCCAGCGGTTGTCAGTTTCATTAGCATAAATACCAGCAAAATATCATCCGGGGCTGGTGATGACTTAGCTCGGACCCTTTACTTCCCATCCCCACGTGTCCTTATTGTCCCTGTTACTATTAAGGATTTTTAGTTTATTTTTATTTTATTTTATTTTATTTGCTTCTGAAGTCTTCATGTAAGAAATGCAAGCAGACCCTCACCTAAGAAGTTTTTTGTTTTGGTTTTTTTGCATAGTTGCAACAGTTTTATGTTAAAAAGTAAATATTTAAGTGACCAAGCGGTGCTTTATGAAAGCATAGGAAATTGGTGGGAACCACTCAAAGAGGAAGAAAGTGAGTTGTCTTTACAACCACTTTTGAGGGGAGCTGGGTTCTTAACCCGAAGGGCTCGGCCTGGTCCTGGAGGGGGGGCAGCTGTGATTCTGCCTGACAACCCAGCATTGCAGGGATAATGCACCTGACGTCCACCATCAGTAACCTCAGGCAGCGCAGTATGTGCTGTGGTTTATACTTTCACTTGTTATTGAAATGGCCGCTTGCTCTTAGCCTGGCCTATTTCTGCAGTGCTTGGGCTGGTTGGCCTACTCTGGCCCCCAAGACCGGCGTAATTAACCAGGATGGGGGGGGGTGTGCCATAAATACACAACAGGAAGACAGATCCCAGTAGGGTGAACTTCAGAGGGACTCTCCACGTGCTCTGGTGTGAGAATCAAATGGCCTTGGAGATGGTTAGCAGTCAGAGCTCAGAATCGAAGGCCTCTCTCTGCCTGGGTTCGAAACGATGGTAAGGGAGAAAGGGGACCCAGTGTTACTAGAAGCCAGGGAAGGGAATTCCTCTGCAGGAGCTGATCTCAATCAAATCCCCAGAGGTGCCTGCCCTGGACCCAAGTGCCCTGTCCCGAGTGCTCCTTGGGCCACTCCGATTGAGAAACAGACACACAGAAGCCGAGATCGAGTCAAGCTGCCCCGAGGGAGAGGCCCAAGCAACAACAGTCTTGGCTCACTGGCAAGCCACTCTCAACATCCAGATTGAGGGGGAGAACTGCAAAATCAACAACTGTCAGATTCCTTTTCTGTGTGATTTAAAGTTGGCTGCCAGACCGTTCTCTTTGAACATGTGCGAAGTGACAGTCAGATGTTAGAGGGCTTTTTCCCTGCTAATGTGGTAAACGATTCCTGTGTGGATGGAAACTGGGCCATGGCTGCAGCCTCCCGCCAGAGCTCCGGGAGCACCGAGGCAACCTGAGTGCTCTCTCCTGGGCTTCATTCTGCGGGGCAGGGGGGTGGGGTGGCCAGGACAAGGTCTGGAGTGCTTTGGCCTGGATGGGCGCATTTCTAGAGAGTTCTTTTGCCCAAAGAAGGTGTCTTGGCTTCTTATTGGTTACTTTTACAGGTGATTCTCTCTGTCACACACACACACACACACACACACACACACACACACACCCCTGCTATTTCTCCCCTTCTGTCACCCTTCATTCCTGGAGGTACTTGCTTTTGCAGGGATAAGGGCATGAATAAGAAAGGAGTAAGAGACATGGAAAGTTTGCTGGGGTGGCAAATTTGGCTTCATTTCAGAGCACGATTTCTGTCTTGTTGGTTTTAACCCCAGTCAGGGCCTCTTAGCAAAATGCCTGGGCTTAGCCTGCCATTTGGGTGAGCCCTTCTCCCATGAGGGTAGGGGGGTGTGGGGGGGAGAGTCACCTTGCAGTCTTGTCAACATGAGGATTAATGCATGTGGGTTTTGATGTGCACTCCTCCCAAGGGGCCTTAGCCAGCAGGCCTCCTGTGTGCGGGAGGAGGGGGAGAGGGAGGGTCCAGGGGGGGTTTAGCTGCTCCTGCTTGGAATTCAGTGCTGCCTCCAAGGTGTCTCCCTCCTCGGCCCTGCCTGCACCTGGTCTCAGGCTTCCGAGGGAGGCCTGGGATGGGCAGTGTGGCCAGTGACTCCTCCTCCCGTTCTTGTCCCTTCCGGCAGCTGCTGCTGCTGGGCTGGGACTCACCAGGGAGCCCCCCTGGCCGCAGCCTCTCTGCTCCTTGTGAAGACGGGGAAGCACCTGATCCTTCTCCCCTTCCCTCCTGCTAATCACATAATGGCCTTTCAGGCTTTCTCCCACGATTATCTCGCCTTTAGTTTTAAGTGGGTCTTCGGGAGCAACAGTTGGGAGTGTACGGAGCGCCTTTAGCCATCCGCGGGGAGACTGCACTGGGAGGGCTGGCTCCGCAGGCCTTGGTGAAAAGGGGAGGAATTCTCATCTGCTGCCGATTTCACGCACTGTCCTGAGAGCGATTTCAGCCACAGACCTTTGATCTGGGAGGGAGACCTCCCCCTATTCCGATGCTTCTGGAGACCAGGGGCAGAGGACTGCTCCCTCCTCCCTCCTCCCCTTCCCCTCCCTCCCGCCCTCCTGCCCTTCCTTCCCTCTCTCCCTCCCTTCTCCACCTCCTCTTCTTCCTCTCCCTCCCTCTCTCTCTCTCCCTTCCTCCCCCCCCCCTCTCTCTCTCTCTCTCTCTCTCTGTGTGTGTGTGTGTGTGTGTGTGTGTGTGTGTGTGTGTGTAGGGGATGTAACCTAAAGAGAGGGGCTGAGATGGGGCCTG